TAGGCAGAAGAAAGAAATTTCTGAAGTTGTGATCGAATTTGCAAACCATGATGACCAGTGAAAGGAAGACAAAAATATATAACCTTTTTCGAGCAAGTGTGAACTTTATCACGAGAATTATACATTTTATCAAGAAATGATTTGATACAACTATCCACAAGTGTTGCAGGATAACCATTAAGAGAGAAGGTTTTCTTGAATTTTTCCATTTCCGAATGGAAAAATGCATAAGAAGAAATGTTGAATTAAATGTTTCATTTTTAAATGACAAAGTGATTAATATAACTCTTTAATAGTTTAATTTTGCAGATACAATAGCTGGAAATGTTAGTTCTTCACTCTTTTTTTTCCTTAAATATGCAATATAATTCCAAGGCATTTGATACCGTAAATCATGATATTTTATTCGATAAACTCCAACATTATGGCATCAGTGGATTGGCCCTTGGTTGGATAAAAAGTTACTTTTCCAACCGCCTACAACATGTCCAATACAATGACACTTCTTCCACTTACAAAATTATAAAATGTGGGGTGCCCCTGGGTTCTATCCTTGGGCCACTCCTGTTTCTTTTATATATTAATTATTTAGGAAATCGGTTTAATTCTGATATATTTGAGATGATTTTATTCGCTGATGACACTAATCTATTCTGCTCCCATAAGGACTTTTCTTCATTGGGAAATATTATTAACGGTGAAATTGAAAAGTTGTCTGAGTGGTTTAAGGCTAATAAGCTGTCAATTAATATAAAGAAATCTAATTATATGATCTTTAAACCTAGACAAAAAGGATTAGTAAATGATTTATCTATAACATTAAATGGTCATATATATAATTAATAGAGTAAAAGAAGTTGCTTTTCTTGGTGCTATTTTGGATGAACATTTTTCTTGGAAACCTCATATTTCTCAAGTTGCTAGGAAAATATAAAAATCTATAGGTATCATATACTAAGCAAGTTTTTCCCTTTCAAAGTCTTCCTTATTTAAATTGTATTATTCTCTAGTTTATCCTTATTTACAGTATTGTCTAATTGTTTGGGGTTCTACCTATGCAACAAATTTAAAACGCATTATTTTGCTTCAAAAGCGCATTATTAGAATTATCAAGTTAAGGTATTAAAATTCGAAAAAATCTATTTGTATCAGCTAGGGAAATTTATGTATTTATATCGAAATAATTTACTACCCAAAAGTTTTGAGAATCTCTTTCCTCGTAATCGCCTTAACATTCATTATTTTTCTTCTTCATCTGGCAATTGAATATTTTTATTTTATTGCTTTTTTTATTCATCTGTAATGATATATTATTAATGTTGTAATTACTGTATTTTGATATCAGTGTATTGATATCAGTATAATTATTGTTTCCATACACCGTCTCCATATCTATCAGAGCAAGTTTGTATATAAAGGAGCCCAATTTTATAAGCCTTTTTGGGTTTTTTTTGGGCTACCTTGCCTTCTCCTATTTAATTCCTAAATTTGTAAATACTTAACCTATGGCAGAATAAATTGATTTGATTTGATATATAGCTTAACTATTTATAGGCTATCAATGTTTTTTTTACAATTGACAAATTATATTGTTACTGCAGCTTTGCTACACAGTTATTCAGCTTTCAGATCTAGAGTTTCCCTCATGACCCCTAGTGTCAACCATGCACTGGTGATGAGCCTCCTAACAAATATTTCAATTTTGTGCTGCACATACAACATCTCGGAAACTAACTTCTGAATCTCTTACATGCAGTCGACCTTTTTTTTAGTGCTAGATTTCAAGGTTTTTACCAATCTCGTTCCCCAAGCCTGCGATCCTTGGGAAGGAAACGAATACGGGATAATCCATCTCAGAAAACTGTATGTCGACCAAACTGCGCATGCGTTGGCAAAAGCAAAACAAATTGTTTGAAATATTTTATTGTTTCGTCTATAAAATGATGATTTTTTCGGGGTTTTGGTGGAAATGTTGATGTTCTTCATAGTGGGATACAAAAGGTGTGTTAGCGACTGAATAAGGAAAATATTGCGCGTGAAACAGGGTCAGTATAGAGCTGGCAGGAGCCGCGAAGAGTGCTGTTGTGAGTGTTGTCGAAGAAAAATGTCACAATTAATTGTAATCTTGCCCATTCACCTCTGTGTCAGTTTGAAAAAGCTTTAAATGTAGAGACAGTTGTGGTTCCTCCAGCATAATTTAGCCGTTTAACGCTATTATGTTTCTAATGGTTGAAAGAGCTCGTGGAAAGGGCAATTTTCAAGAACAAAAACAATCGATGTACTGTGTGTTAATTGCTACTGTAGTATTGAAATACATGAAGAGAGTCTCAATTCTAATATTAAGTCGGTTATAAACCTTGATATCAAATATTAAAGTTTTCAGAAGATTTGTATATCAGAGGAATATTAAAAGGAATTTAGACTTATAAAACATAATGCATATCATTAAAAATATGAATATAGTGAATTCCGTGTTTGTATTGTGTTTAAATATCATCTCTAGAAATTAACAGTTTATAAACTGCCCAGATTATATTAACTGCCCTTATAGCTTTCCTTATATGTTTTAATATTTGCAAGCAGTTTAGTAGGTTAGGGATGCAACAGCACTTTTCAAATTATTGAATTATAACCAAATTTTGTGTCCGGATAGGAATTACTATTAAAGATTTACAGTTTGTAATGATAGAGTTGGAGCAAGTTAAGCTGCAATGTGCCTAAGTCTGCCCTACTTTGTTATTTTAAGCTGTTTAATGCCAGAATTTTTTCTCGTCAAGGGGAAAGTATTGGACTTGGTATTTGAATGGGTTAACCAGTCCAACTGCTAGCCTGCGCCATAGTTAATATAGGTCTTCTATATTAACTATGCCTGCGCGCAGACTATATAATGATATATATATATATATATATATATATATATATATATATATATATATATATATATATATATATATATATATATATATATATGTCATTATATAGTCTGCGTGCAGGCTATCCATCTGCATGTCTACCTATCTTTGGTTAATTATCTCATAATTAGATCATTAAGCCACAATGCTCTTTAGTGCTCCCTATTTTGTTGTTACACTGTACTTCTGAACAATATTTCTCATCAATGGCCGGAAATGTACTTGACTTCATGTTGATTACTCATTACTGCCATTAAAGGGACTCTACAGTCATTTTTTAGTCGAAAAGCCATCTTAAGTAGGGGACTCGACAGAGATTCGTTTGGCTGTATCTTACATGCAGTATCCATGAGTATGAGTACTTTCGCACACCGGAAGACGCATGCATGCCATGATGCACATGTCAAGTAGCGACAATAACAAAAAAATGTAAACAATACTTGCTTGACTAAAAATGACTGTAGGGCCCCTTTAATTAATTAACTACAGTACTAAATAGGACATTCAAGGTTTTTAATTAATTAACTACAGTACTAAATAGGACATTCAAGGTTGGAGATATAATAGCAATAGAGGTTGCTATCATTGTAGCATTCAGGGGCGTCGCTAGCCCAAATTGTCAGGCATTTTGCAATTTATTGTTTCAGCAATTGGGAAATTGTTTTCGTGACCAGCATGATTTGAATTGGATAGGAAAAACTGAAATATACTGAAATATATTGTTGCCCCTCCCCTTCTCAGAGTAGGTATGTGTTGTTTTATAGTGTAAATAACAAGTTTTGATATTGCAATCAAACTGACAGGGTGGTTGTCATGACCATGGTAATAAAAATATTTCTGTGGCTCGGCATTTATATTGGGCAATTTTTGTCATTCATCACAAAATGATACCTGCACCCTAGGTGGTTCCCTACAGGGGGTCATAACCAGGGGGAAGCTGATGAAAATGAAATCTGGTATTGGTGGCTGCATGATCACTATCATTTAATATGAATAGAACATTTCTTAAAAAAAAGTGTATGAATTTATTAAAAATATTTATATGGTCTCCCAATCAGGAATTCATACTTTGTAACATCTGGATCAAAAGGTTTATGACGTTTTCTTGGACAGAATCCAATTAATACAACCTTGCACAGAGGGCAGGGCTTCTTTGAATTACTGTGTGGACAAGATTAACAAAGGGATTGCCAATTTGGCATATTGTGCTCCTCAATAAATTAAAATCATTAAATACTTTATGCTACAATTAGCTGTCAGTAATATTATACTGTATATTATTGTGTTCCATAAGACATCATAAATTTGATGGGTGGTCAACTCTAAATCGAGACACAGTCATCAGAGGGAATTAATTTTTCACTGTATGTGTTGGCCTTGTGTTTCGTTGCAAATACATGCAATTTCATGTCATTTGCTCACTCCAGTACAACATAAGCATCAATACATTTTTTAGGTTGATCTCCTGTCAGAACCAGGGCGCTTATATATAAGCGCCCTGGTCAGAACCAATGACAGAACGTGCAAAATGCCATAGTGAAATCCAATAATTCATCATATGTATTACTGTATGCACCTATCAATGTTAAGCCCCAGAGGAGGGAGGTCAGGCATAGGTGGGGCATTTGATTTTTAGAGCAAATTTTCAATCAAATGCCCCACCGTCGGGCAATAAATATTGGTCAAATGCCCCACCATTTTGCACTAAATTGCAATAAATAGTATGTTAATAAAAGTCATTCGGTTCAAATTGCCCCAACTCGGGGCCAAAAGGCTATTCAAAATCCCCAGGGTGGGGAGCAATTGATGATCAAATACCCCACATATACCCGACCCCCACCCCCCACCCCCCACCCCCTCTGGGGGGTTAACATTGATAGGTGCATTAGGTGTATGCAGACTGGAATACAAGTTTAAAATATCACTGCCTGTGAAATTGTGGTTTATTTAGAGAATAAAGGTTTTTTGAACTCTTCTATAAATAAATTGTAACAGCAAAAGATTCATATGCACCCATTAGGGCGGAAGGGTTACATGCTACAAGTTAAAATGAGTATTACATACTCCTGCACTTGAAAAGTTTACAGCACAGTATATACATTAAATAATAAAATATATAGCAGTAAATCCCAAGATTGGATGTATTGAAACTAGTTATTAGTTAGTTCTTCGCAATTAGATAACACAAAGACAAATTAATAAAGTTAGTAACCATTTCTGACACAAATAGTATTTGCAAAATATAGCACATATTTGATATTATAGTCAAATAGTACAGTGTACTGACAGTACTGTATACTATGTATAGATTAAAACTACAGAAAACCTGTACAACACAAATATCAGTAAAGTTTTCACGCTCCATTTAACTGTTGTGATATTATACGCATTAAGTATACGTTTCTTTGCATATCCTTTGTAGTATTAGTATATAACACAGCTCTGAAAAACTTAAAAAAATATTCGTACACTCCTAAACGGCCGCCATGTTGTATATAAAAATATACGGTTATAAATTATTTTTTATTATTAGCCGTGAGGCCCTGGGACCGAGGATGAGTTGCTCTGCGTTCAACAGGTGGGAAAACTGACTGAGCATGCGCGAAAACTGCTCGGGTTTTAGCGGGAGATAAAGATATGCGTGCTTCCACTTGGTTGATTTAAAAAACATAAATTTATATATTTTCAAAAACATGAGTTTATCCCCTCGTTGTCTCAAAATAACCTATACTTAATACGTCAAATTTGACCAATCATCTTGTAGGATTTGTTATATATACTTGTGCAAAAATACTAAAACTCATTATCTATGTGTTAATCAACGTTTATTCATAAATAAATATTGTATTTTTGCTAAATCCACCACTAGCAATTTCCAATTTTCCTATTGTTCGAGTCACGGATAGATAACTTTCCTATAACATTGCTATTGGTTAGTTGGGCAAAAATATAATACACACGTGACGGTAAAGAAC